GCTACTAGTAGCTCTTGGCCTTACTACTAGGAGCAAGAAGCTACTAGTAGCAGCACGGCATAGTTTATCTTCTTTAAATTAGATTTCCGCCTGCCGGCCCTGCCGGGATTTACCGGGGCGTGCGCCAAGAAGCATTTCAACTGTTCAAGCGCTAGCTCTGCCTCAATTGCTGCCTCACCTTTGGTGGCATACGCTTGAGGCCTTCTGCATCCTCGAACAGCAGGGCGGCCAGTGTAGAGTCTCACTAGAGCAAACTCGCACCAACACTTTTTTGTTTTTCCTTTAAAAGCATCATCTTGCTTCCACAGCACAAAGGACACTTATGATCTGTCTGGTTGCTTCTTTTGCGTTCCGTCGAAGGAAGGTCCTCCTGGTCCTGAAACCATCGTTCCATAAAGTCCAGCGCCTATCGCAAAGCAGCAGCACGCATAGGAAAACTGTTTTTTGGCCCGCTCCCACTTAATTAAGCAGGCGCCTACTTAATTAAGTAAGGAGGGAAGCTACTAGGCTGAGATAGCTCACGCTAATGATTTGGTTCCTAGATTCTTTGGGAAACTTAACTTCAAAGAAAGCGCTTCTCTCTGGCCTGATAGTCAGACCTAATGTTCCTGTCAAAAAAGAAGCTCTGCGGCGTCTGAGACCTGCCAAGGGAGCAAAGAAAACAGATTGAGACGTGAATGCGCTTGAACAGCTTGCACCCACCTTCGGGCCTTTGCTGGTAGAGCAAACAGGGGTGAAGTCAAGCAGCCCAGTGCGAGGCTGAGGCAGCTTGTCCTGAGAACAAGTCATCCATAGTCATCGTAGTTTGAGCTTCAGCAGGCTTGTCAGGAAAATCTGAGTTTGCCAAAAATGCCAGGCAGTTCATGTCACGTTCTGTCCGCTGCTCCTTTCTAAATGGCGCCAAATGCAGGAAATCTGGTCTGTACACATCTGCAGGCAGCACATTGCATTATCAAGTCAAACCTGGTGACCGGAGTGCGCTGGTCTGTTCGCAGCGCCTCGGATTAGTCCATGGTTTGAGGACTTAGACACAATTGTGTCTGGAGTCTGATATGAAAGCCGTAATCCAATCTTCTCCGCCGTCCTTGGATCTTTGATAAGGACTTCGAAGCCGGTGCAAAACATCAAATCACCTTCACCAGGCTAATACTTTCCAACATCCACAAAATATAGCCTCACCACAAGAACATTGCACAAATCAAGCGATCTTCGTTTGATCTGCTAAAGCGTGCAACTTGCCCCTTTGAGGCAAGTTGAAAAAATATTACTTTGCCAAAACACAAAACCTGCGAATTGCAGCCATATTAGAACAAGAGCTTCAAGATGCTCTGGCCGCTAGCGCTTCTTTTCAGCAGATAGCGGTGGTAGGTGCAAGTCTTTGGACATCGCGCTTGTGCCGCTTGCCTGCGCCTGCCATTGATATACACCCCCCTGAAGTCAGTATGAAAGTGGAAGAAACATCTGTTCGTAAATGGTCATCCTAGGGGCCATTTTCCACTTCCATGAATATTCCAACGAGTGTGCAATCCAAAGCTTGCCCATTCACCGAATTCACCTGACACCCAATCCACGTGCCTTGCTCTTTTTTGCTTTCAGCTTGCTCTCCGACTCATTGACCTCCTTTTCTCTGGTCTTAGAGTGAACCAGCAAGGTTTAGTGACAGTCTGATTCATTCGTCAACATGGCCTATGATCAATTTAGGCTCCAGCCATCATTTTGGGATCCTCCAAAATGGACGCAACAGAAGGTGGCCGGGTATCCTGCTCAGCACTGCTCCCAGCGATGCTTTCAACAGTGCACTCTGAGTTTTCGACTCTTTTCTCTGGCTCTATAAATGCACAAACACAGTGTCACAGGGCTGTACGGAATTGATGTTCATCCTTCGCCTTAAAAAGATATGCCCAAACTCACAGAGCCCATCCTTCGCTTCGTTGGAGGAAGCTGACACAGTTTTCCTCGTCCTCGGTCTCCTTAGCATCTTCCACATCCTTCTCTGACTCAACAGTGCTCATCTCTGCCCGCATGCGAACAAAAAGTCTGTCAATTGTCCTTCCACTAGCTTCAAGCCCAGACTCTTGCCGTATCGGTCCTTTGCCATCTTTTTGTACACGCTCTTCTCATCTGGAAAGTGACTCAACCTGTAACATTGAAAGTGAATCCAAGTTTACAAACCAGTCTGATTCTCTTCTCGGCTTAGAAACTGTCTTCGGTTTTTACAGCTTTGGTCGATATGTTCCACCTTTCCACCGAGATGCAGTTGGTTGAAGATCCTCTGATGAACCATACGTGCATCACAAATTGCCTTCACTGCGAATCACCGTTTACTCTGTAGAACAACACACAAAATTCCGGCTTAGCTTACAACACAGTTCGAGCAATTGAATTAACAAAAGCTCAGGTGATTGTGCTGCACTCTGCAAAAGCGCAAAGTCTGCGTGAAGCTTGTCCACACTTTACAGAACTCAAACTGAGAAAGGAAACCACTTCCGCGCCCGGGCAATGACAGTGGCAGTTCGCCTGCAAACATCAGATGCAGTAGGATAAAAGCACTCAATGTCCTTCTGCCCTAGCCGCCCAGCCTTGCTGGCGCCCCGAGAAGCAACGGGCTCTCCCCGAAAATGTTTGGTGCTTTGATGCGGATCGGCGTGCTGCCCTGACGAAGCCAAAACTAAAAGCTGACAAGGCCGAGTCTGCATCATCAGAAGCATGGCCACTGCCTCTGTCAATGCCATCTGTTCCGTCATAACCTCCACCTGTACTTGCAGGCAATCAGCATGACTCACTAACAAGGAAGTGAAAACTATACCAGCATAGATCCCAAACAGTTTCAAAACGACTCGTTTGGACCAATGTTAGTCAACACCGATTTCTTGGCACGCCCTACCTTCCCCCCAAAGAAAAATCTGCTTCATCAATCTTTTTGTCGGCATAAACATCGCTATTCATTCGGCCACACGCCCCTCCAGCTGTTGACCAGGTTCATGAAGATATTGACAACGTCCAATGCGTCTCACGGGCACATTATCGGGCGCCCTATCTATCAACAGTATGAGGCGGGCCCCTACGCAAGCCCGCTTCTTTCGCGGGCGTCCGGTTGGACGTCACTCAGCATTCTAAACACTCGGCCACGGAGTTCACGGGCGCGGCCAGTGTGGCCAGGGCCGGTCAGCGCGGCCACAGGACAACAGCAGGACAAGAGAAGGACAAGAGGAGGACAACAGCAGGACCAGAGAAGACAAGAGGAGCACAAGACCCGGCCACAGAGCCCGGCCACAGAGATCAGGGGCGCAGCCAGTCAGTGTAGCCAGCTCTATCTTTTTTCAGATAGAAGCCCAACATAGAACCCCATAAGTGCACTGCTTTTTCCAAGCTGCACAATCGCAGGCCCGGACTAATGCCTGACCACAGTGATACACTAACCGGCAAACTACGAACGAAGTGCGCGAACAAAATGGGCATAGGGACAGGGCACGCACGGGCCTAAGCGCTGAAACAGCCTCTAAGAGGGTGCTGCATGACCAACACGAACTGCGTCAACACAAAGCGTCTAATTAATCCGGGAAAGTACTGCGAAGTGGTCCGTTAGCGGGAAGCTGTGCAAGAAAAGCTTGGAAGGCAGAAACTGCAGCGTGCTCGACAACACACCTGGCCCCTATGCCAGAAGCACGAAAGCAAGCACCAAGATCCCACAGGGATCGCGAGAAGGCCACGCGTTCAGCCAGGAACACGGACGATTCCAGGTTCCTCTTAAGGGTCCTAACCGTGTTTGCTATCATACGAATCTGAGCGAAGATAGGGGCACGCTTGGCCAATTCATTACCTTTAACATTCCTAACGCAATACGCCGATCTGGATTTGTTCTTACCTCCAACAATCAAGCCGATGTCGAGGCCAGAAAAATGAATGAAAAAGGAGAGAACAATGGTCGGAAAAAATGACAAATGAACCTCTCCATGGACAAGAATGTAGGTCATCTCCCCATATTCGCCCTCTCGAAGTACTGTCTGGCCCGGGTGAAATATCCGGATGTCCAGCCTCAGGAGAAGAAGTGCAAAGGCACTTCATATCTGCAAAAAAATAAAGGAAAACAAGAAGGTAAGGGGGCCTTATTTAAATGGCCCTTGCCTTTTTTGATTCAGTGTTCTTTGCGCAGTTCATTTGCTTGCTAGTAGAGAGACTCTCTCGAGAGCAATGAAAGAAAGTCCCGATGGGAATTCGAGAAGAACGGAAAGGTTTGCCTCGGCTGTGCTTGTTTGTGTCAGTTGCACACGTGTCTGAAACTCTCATGGTCGCAGAGCTGGGAGCTATGTCACAAGCCACCAACCAAAGACTAAATTCAATCCTTCCTGGAACCAAGCCACAAGCGATGGCAAAGCTCCGATACGTGGATTGGACTCCGAAGCCTTGATTCCGTTGTTTGGAATATTTCTACACCGTGCATCGTAGTGCGGGAGAGTCAGAACCAACCAAACATCGGCTTTGTTGGTACTCACGAAAATGCATAAGCCTGGCTCATGACTCTCGCCAAGACACATCATCATCTTTGTTCTTGATGAAACAAACCGACGCCGTGGGCGCGACTCCTTCAACCCAAAGCATTCCAAGGTACTCATGTTTGTTGATGCTCCAAAGAGTGTTTGTTATGTTGTTTGTTCCTCTTTCTCTCTAGCAATCCCATTCACACAGGTGTTCGCCACTTAATATACGTCTACCCAAGTGCAAAAACAAAGCCGCTTCGTCACGGGCCTATCAAATACCTATTGCTGCCATCAAGGCAACCAGTTCGAATTCTGCTTTATTTTGACCTGCTTTGACTTCGGTCCGAGATCCTCCAGTTCGCCGACGCCAGTAAGAAGCCGTTGGAGCTGCGCGCGCTCAGCCTTGGAGAGTGCCTCAGGAGCTCTCCCTGTTGCAATTGTAGCAACTGTTGCAACTCATCGCATTGAATTTGTGGCTGATAAAGATACCCCCGTTGCAAGAGTTTGCCAAGCTCACACATGTTTAAACACCAACCTTCAGTAAAGGACCAAAAGGAGGAAGTATCTTTAAATGTCTAAACTTTAAACTGCAGAGAGTATCTGAGCATTTCTTGCCAAGCTGCCATGCCATACCCTGAGAAGACAAAGTTCAACTGTTCACAGTTGTTAGCAACAGATTCACAGTACAATTTGTAAAATGCCAAAACTCACACTCCAAGCGCAGGGGTGGGTAGCTGTCAAGGAATCCCAGGCTTTGTGAAGTCACTTTGGTAACTTGATGCAAATGCGTGAAATTGTTCTGTACTCTCCATACTACACTGCTCGAGAGTGCAAAGCTGCGTTTAAGCTTGTCTTGTGAATTGTCATTTGTCTGGAGAGTTGGCATCATCATGCTGTGCTCATAATGACATTGAGCGCGACCCTAAAAATACCTTGAGCGAGCCAAATATTCCAGTGATGCTACAAGGCCAGACATGAAGTGTTCCTTCTCGCTGTCTCCCAAAGTTCAGGCCTCAGCCATTGGTGGCGGCGTCTGCTTGTATGCGCAGATTGCGCGGAGAACCTGGGAAAGTGCATGACTCTCCTGGTCTTGTTTACTTGCTTGTTTCTCAGCCCAGCCTGTCATATTTCATTAAGCAAAAAGCTCTAGTTTATGTTGTGTTTCCTCTATTGGACGGAATTGTGCCAAACCTAAACTGCTGTCCATGATTGTCATTGTCCAGGAAGCTACAGCTTGCAGCATGTCAAGCACCGCATAGGGTTTCTGCTGCTCAAAACCCTGTAAAAGAGCCCAGTCAATCATTGCAAAGTCAGTTGTCAAATCATTGCAAAATCAGTCAATCGAGCATGGACTGTGGAAGACTCTGATGCTTTTGTGCCAAAAACTGCATCACGGAAACAAGTGGCAGTGCACAGCACAATCTCAAGATAAATCAAGATATATAATATAGTAACAATGTTCGCTACTAGGAACAAGTGCATCGCTTCTAGGAACAAGTGCCTTACTAGTAGTAACATGTAGTAACAACACTTCAATCGTTTTCCCTCGCAGCCAAACTCAATGTGTCCCAACCGAGTTCTCGCGTTTTCAACCTTATGCTTTGCCCTCAAGCGCTTCCTTCGCCTGCATCTCAGAATAGCACCTTCCAGCATCATGTGTTCACCACTTCGAATCAAACTAACTTTGGAGTTTGATTGGCAAGTTGAATCAAAGGTTGCCATACGCAACTGGCTCAAGGCCTGCTCCTGCTTCAACGAAACGTTGGAAGATGCCTTTCAAGCCACCCAGCAGCAATGCTCCTGCCTGAATGGAAGTGTGCCACGGGAATGAACCTGTGTGGCTATGCGGCTACGCCCATGTTTCTGCCTCAAAAACCGAGGCGGTCTGCGAAGGATGGCCTGGCCGAAGCTCTCCAGCAAGAAGCGACAATTTGTCTCACTAAAAACAACCATTGGTCGAAACACATAGGAAGAGATTGAAGATAAGAACGTGCAGCTCAACGTCAAAGCAAAGGCACCTTTGACGCCAGACAGAGCAGAAGCTGGGGTTCCGCTTCCGGATAGGAAAGTCTGTTGGGTCACCTGATATCAAAGCAAATTGTGTTCCATAGACCAAAAGCACTTCAGAAACAATCGCCGATGGCCGAATTCTAGCTCAAGTGTCTGCACATGGTGTATACGTCTGAAGAACCATTTCAATACAGCACAACAAAAGATTCGCTCCAAGTAGAGGTGTATATGCGCAAGTTATATTATGACAAAGAATCACTATAAGTTTATATATACAAATGGTAACAAAATGTTATCACCAAAACAGAGAAAATGTAGTCAAGAACCAACGCAGCATAATGTATAAAGAAAAAGTAATTCCGTGAAAAAATCATGTCTCAAATCGGATATCTTATGTTCCAAAAACATTGCGTTTTAGACAAAAGGCACTGCAGGCTAAAAAATGGATCTTAGCGCACCATTTCTAGACAAGAAGAGGGTGTGTAAACATAATTGAAGATTGGGTTGGCTGATATCTTAAAGACACACATATTTTTAAGCTCGGGTTCTACGTCCTATGATTTTAGAGAAGCTTTAGGTTTGAAGAGGTTGCGCACTTGGTGCCAAAAAGAGTTTGTGATGTTTATTTGCAGTCCTTGGCTCCGCAAATGGCTTGCCCATTCATGCTTGTTGTGGCTGTCATCCTTGGGCACCTTGATTTTATAGTAGCCTTGTTTTGCTTTATATTATTTGTCTCACCTGTCTGTCTGATCTTGTGAGCTCCATTCTATACTATATATGGTACATATATGTATTTTCTTGTTGCCCTTGATTCAGGATATTTTCCATTTAGCCTCATGTACCCAGATTTAGGGTTCTAGAATGGTCCTGAAATAGAAGCAGGATGACAAAACGTACAATGAATGTAGCTGTCGAAAAGACCATGCTTTAAGTTCTGGCAATGTAACTGTTTGGACACGCAAGCGCTTAGCTTGTACAAAAGCACGTAAACCAAGCAAATATTGACAAACAATGCAAATGTTTGTCAAAAACAAACAAAAGGAAAAAAATCTAAGCACTGGATGTATGTATGTACATGTGCTAGCGCATGACTTATACACGAATGATGCAAGAAACGCAGTGTCGAGCAAGCAGTTTTCACACATCGAAAAAATCGACCAACACCAAAACGGGTTGAAATGCAACCACAAAGACTTTTTGCAACATAACAAGTTACAAAAACAAGCTCACTGTCCAATTTTCATAGACGAGGAAGCACTTAAGAAATGTTCGCTGATGGCCGAATTGTCCGTTCAAGTGCCTGCGCATGGTTTATATAACTGAAACCAAGTCAATACAGCACAACAACGTTTGTATATCTACTCGCGCTATTCCTACTCGGACAGAGACTGAAACGGATTTAAGTTAAGTTCGCGCAAATGGCAGGAACATATTACAGCATCTCCAAAGGAGAAAGAAGATGCACTGATTGAAGGACGAAGGCACAATTTACACACGAAAGGTGCAACAATGAATCCAGCGGACGAAGAGCCCCCGCATCATGTTTGCATCTGAAAAACATACTCAACATAAAAAACAAGTGCCAGCAGGAAACATATACTTGAAAATGCACCCGGCACGACAAGTGTTTAGACATGGGCGTGCACATTTTCCATATGGACAAGAAGGAGACGTTCGAAAGAGTATCATAGGGGTTCAATGTGACAACAACATACCATCACCAAAGGAAAAGACCATGTATGTTCAACTACGGAGGCGTTATCTACGCACGACAGGTGCAATGAATGCAGTTCTCAGAGGGAGCCTAATTTAAGTACTCGGAAAGTATGAGTTTGGACAAGGCTTATCCAAATACTAATGTGTTTCAAGAGGCGGCAAAAGATACCGACGCAAGCAGAACATGCAAGTACTCGCCAACTGATATCCTGAACCAAAACAATACAAAGGTTGCTCTTCTCAAGCGAAGCAATTTTCTTTACACCTCGACACACAAGCGCACAGTCCATACATGTACCAAGACTGAGCCGGAGACACAACCACAACATTCATAAGCGAGACACCACCAAAACATCAGCGAATCACCACCAAAACAGAACCAGTAAACCGCCAAAACAGCAAAACAGTACAAACACACCACCAAAACATAACCGGCACACCACCCAAACATGAGCAAGACACCACCGAAACAGAACGCAAAAATTACCAACACAATCCAACACACACCAACGAAACATGACCGAGACACCACCTAAACACGACGGAGATTCGAAGTAAACATGACCAAGACAACATTAAAACATGACCCAGAAACCACCAAAACATGACCGTTAAATTCTGTTAAATCGCCAAACATATTATCACCGAGACACCACCTAAACGTGACCGAGATCCGAGACACTACCTAAACATGACATACCCACACACCACCTAAACATTGAACCCCAAGCTATCGCTATTGGGGAATTTGTGCACGAATCCAAAACCAGCAAGGCGGAAGCTCCACCAGTCAAAACGTTAACCGTCAACAGGGTTGGGCCTAGCTGTATAGAGTTTGAAATCATAGTTTTTGTGAATATAGATTAGAATGGAATCAGTCTATCTAGCGTCTGCACAGAGAACATTTTTGAATCAGCCGTCTCTCTCGCCCATACGTTCAAGCTGCACAAAATGAAGGCCTGCTCAGCCTGGCCAATGCTGCCGCATTTCTCCCTGTAGAGCTTCACCACCTCTTGCACAGACGAGGCCTCGGGAAGAGAAGCTCACTTCAGGAGATTGGGATAAATGACGTGCCCGGACACCCAAAGAATCTGCTGCTTAACGTGTTGTACTTCCCCTAGCTTCACAACTCCAGCTTCCTGCCTGCTGAAGGCGCCACCATTCTAGGATGTACCTGAGAGGGCCACAAGGAAAATGATTGTGAAATTCCTCAGCTTGGAATGCAACAGCATCAAGTCAAACGAATTCTTTCAAACCTTGAAACATTTGCTGCCGATTGGCCTTCCACGTGCACGATCACGGAGATCCGTCAGCAAGCGCTGTGTGCCCTCCTCAGCCTCTTCACTTCCAACAGCGCCAGTAAGCATCGACCTCGCAAACTCTGGGAATTGAAGAATTGAAGGAGCTCCGGAAGGAACGACACCAGGATCAAAATATTCTATAATATAGACAGATAGGATAGGAGGCGGTTCAGATGAGATGAGATGAGATGAGACAAGTTCATAAGATAGAGAAGATAGACAAGATAGAAAATATGAATAGGATAGATCAGATGAGATTAGATGAGATAAGTTCATAAGGTAAGATGAGATGAGACAAGTTCATAAGATAAGATGAGATGAGAGGAGATGAGTTCAAAAGATAGGGAAGATAGACAAGATAAATAAAATGGATAGGATAGATCCGATGAGATGAGATGAGATAAGCTCATAAGTTAGAGAAGAGAGACAACTAGAATGGATAGGATAGATAAGAAAAGATGAGATGAGATAAGTTCGATGAGATGAGATAAGTTCATAAGATATAGAAGATAGACAAGATAAATAAAAAGGATAGGAAAGATAAGATGAGATGAGATGAGATGAGACAAGTTCATAAGATAGAGAAGATAGACAAGATTTAAAATATATATATATATTAGATGAGATAAGTTCATAAGATAGAGAAGATAGACAAGATAAACAGGATGGATAGGATAGATAAGATGAGATGAGATGAGACACGTTCATAAGATAGAGAAGATAGACCAGATAAGTAAAATGGATAGGATAGATAGGATGAGATTAGATAAGTTCATAAGATAGAGAAGATAGACATGATAGACAAGATAGATAAAAACGGATAAATGGATAGGATAGACCAGATGAGATGAGATGAGATAAGATAAGATAAGATAGATAAATCAATAGACAGATAGACAAACAAGAGAAATAGGATACTGTAGATAAGATTGATCGCATTGATAAGATAGACAGAAGAGATAAGGCAAATAGGATAGATAAGAAAAAACACAAATAGATAGATAGATAGATAGACAGATAAACAGATGGAGAGACAAATAGATATATAAAGAATAGAGAGAGACAAATAGATAGATAGATAGATAGATAGATATATAGATAGATAGATAGATAGATAGATAGATAGAGAGATGTATGGAAAAACAAGGGACACAGGCTGCCAATCGGCTCCGAAAGTTTGCTGTTTTTTATCTATTCAACAGGTATGCAGCTACATCCTGTTCGACAATATGCACAGAAGCTGCAAACACCAAACAAAACCTTTCTCAAGCACTAGAGGCCCCCAGCCTCAAATGGTTCCGCAAAACGTCCACATTTCGCAGATCCCAAACAGAAAAGCACTCTTCTGCATCGAGCTGCAGGCAATGCCTTAGGTCTCCAAGCACATTAAGTCACAGAGCAGGCAACTGTTGGAAGCATTGTTGAAAAAACGATACAAATGCAATTTGTTTCAATAAACGATCTTAATAAAATCAAGTAAGTTCAAAATGTGCTTCCGATGTGAGATCAGTGGCTCCAAATATTCATGAATGAGAGGCAAGGCCGCTGGCAAGGCCTTCCCATATGGCGTGGAAGGTGTGGTGCTAAACGCTCTTTGAAACAGCGCTGGATCCCTCAATAGCTGCTCCGCCACCATAATACCATCCTGAAACTATGGAGCAACTACGTGCGCTTGTTTCAATGATAAAATGGAGAACATGAGAACTATCAAAACTGAGTCCAAAGCACATTGGGTGAAGGCCAGGTTCCTCTCAACATCCTTGGCAGGTTGGAGATTGTTCAAACAAAGAGGTTGCTTTTGCAACATGTTTGTGTTGAAAAAATGAATTATATACGTGTTTTTGGAAAACCATGTCCATGACTCCTGCAATTGTCATAATCAATCACAGGCAGGCGGCCTCAGCACTTTTCACGTTGCCTCAGAAGTCTTAGAGCAATGACGTGGAACGTTTTGGCCGTTTTTCCAAAATCTTGCAACCTCACCACTGAAGACTTAGAAATGGAATCTGCCACTTCTGCAGGAAGCGAGAATCAGACACAAACGCAAATCACTCCAGTCTCTACAGAAAAGCTCCGTCATAGGTTTGGAACAATTCCCAAATCACATAGCGAGCTTTAGGACCAAGGTTGAAAGTAAGACCAAGGTCTTATAGCTCCATTCTGAAGAGTTTCTCAAATTTGCTCTTTCCAACGAAGCCGTCAAGCCACCATTTGACAGCACTGGTATCTGCAAGACTGCTTTGAGCTTACTGACAGTGGCCAAATCCTTGGGCGATCGCTTCTTTGAGATGCGTAAGTCAATACAAGTCATCACGACTTCGCTCCGTTTGAGTCTGTCTTGTTTGCAAACTGCATGTATAGCATCCTCAAGAGTGTCCCCTTCTCCTTGCTGATAGTGGCGCTGCTGCGCCACCACGTCGTTCTTTCGCACTCTCCAGGCGCCGGCCATGCACCGCCAGGAGAGCGCACCCCGCAGCTTGCAAACGAAGTGCATAGTCTTGGCTACAAGCCTCACATCGATTGCTTCCTATCTTGACTTTGTGGAGACAAAGAAAAATACAAAAGGCCAAAAAGAATATATCTGCAGTTAGAGTTTATCAGTACCGGCACTTGCCCAACACTGCAACAACACGCTGTCAAAAACATCGCAGGTGAAGGACTACCAAGACAAGAAAAAGTCAAGCATATATCCAGTCATGCAAAACTTGTGAGTGAATGCAAAGAGGTTCTCGGACCAGCTTCGGTTAGCCGCCTAGCCTAGGAGTCAGTGACTTCCTTTCCTTTCCAAGCTTCAAGTATATAGTAATTTTTGACTGACCTACGCAGAGCTACGCTAGATTCAAAGGCCCACAAAGAGTTGAGTTTCTCCACCCCCACCGGCCACGGCATCTCTAAGCCTCTGTTGCTTGCAGCCGAATCTTGCAGAAAATTGGAATCTCCAAATCTCTTGCACACTTTGCGACCATGGCCTCCCACAAGTGTGTTACAGTGCCAGTTGCAAAAGTGTGCAGTAGATTATCGATGCCTCGATCAAGGGCCAATTGTTTCGATTTGAGGCCAACCACGCACCGTAGTTTCCTGGACAAGGCTTCAAGGCACAAAGCACTCAATGCAGTGTCTTCGGCCTGTTTTGGCTTTCCTTGGAAAAAGACGGGCAGGCATGTCACTCCTCTTGTGTAACACCGTCTTTTCTGAATGTCTTGCTTGTGCCTCTGGTCAATCAGAATAGAAGTTCTGATGCTGAGCCAAGATTCCCCTGCGGGCATCCCAAGTTCAAGTCAACAGCGTCAGCACCAAGTTTCTGGAGGGCAGCTAGGGGCATCGAAAGGGAGATATCAATGCAATACCAGAGGACAAAAATAGAAAAGCGGTATCATTCAGTCAACAAAAATGACACACCCACATTCTATCTTCAATATCCTCTCTGTTGTATTTGTGCACCACAAAACACTACGGCTCAAAACTCCAACTATATAAGTGTTGCAAGGAATTCGACTTAACAATTGCGCGTTGCCCTATCCTGTGCCCAACGTGCAGCATCCCGCAACATTGTCGGATCGTTTGCCGCAAGCTGCACAACCAACGGATGATCGTCAGCACACACCTTGACACCCCAGCTTTCCCAAACGGAAACGGTGATTGCAGCAATGTGACAGCAACTCAGGAGCCTGCACCTTTGCCCAAAGCAGCTTTTCTGTAGTCCTCTCAGGCCATGAATGGTTTCTGTAGTGCCCAGAAGCATAAATGTCCCTTCAGCTTCGCAAGAGCTTGTTGGAGGTCGAGTTCGTATGACAAGGATCAAATTGACGGTTGAAAAAGCTCGCGTCAAGCAAATTGCAATTCAGTTGAAGTCTGAAGTCCTCACATTGCGCAAAGCGATCTGCCATCAGCATCTCGGTGTAGCAAAGCGTACACCCGTGTGCCCTGACCAGGCGACGGAAAGGTCGGTCGCCTCAGGCAAATGGCCAAAGCTGCAGTGTGTCTTAAGTAAAGGCATAAAGCATTTTTTACATGCAACAAGAATGTAATATGTTCTCTTCTTGAAACTGCAAGCATCTTGTGATTGTGTTGGTCTTTTGCAAATTGCAAGCTGAGGATGCAAATAAGTGTCCGGCTTTGCGTCACCATTGGGGCCATGGCAAAAATGGGCGGTACCAGGTTCAATGGAAGCGACATGTCAAACTTGTCCAGCTCAGCAAGTGCTGAGAAGGCAGAGAAGTGCACTTAAATGTTTGCAAGTAGCACTGAGGTCAACCTCAAAGAATAGAGGTGCTGCAGCTGGATACGCTCCAAAAGGTGTATCCAACCCTGTTCAACACACCCAACGAAACGTGTGGAATCATTTTTGGGTACGGCATTTTTATATAATTAGAACCTGAAATTGTTGAGGGACAATCACTGCAACGCCAACTGTAGTGCAAGGTTCCCTCCAGTTTGCGGAAGGAACTGAGGGAGAAAAAAAATGCCATGACCAAAACTTCATTGCAACAGCTCAAGTGAAGGCTGTAGTGATGGTTCGGACTAGTAAGCATTCTTTGCACATTGTTGAGGCAGCAATTCTGTAGAGGTGGCGCGCTCATCTGATATTTGACGGCATGTTGTCTGTCAAACTCAAAAAAAATTGTGCTGCTGTGTTTGTAAGAGCTGAAATTGCAAAATATCCAGAGCTTGGGATTTGAGCCGAAATTGCAAAAATAGTTATGCTTTGGATATCTGTGTGTGTGTGTGTTGGAGAACCCTCAAATGGACAACGCCCGCTGAACAACAACAAGGCAAAGTTCTGCTGAAAGAATTGAGAGTTTCTGCCGACTAGAATACATATCTTGATCCCTGGCTCATCTTTGAGTCAGAGTACTCATTCCTGTCGCCTGCACTTTGTGGCAGGGCTGACTGCACGAGATTCGATACCCGACAACAACTCTACAACATCCAAATGACTGCGGTATTTCGCAATCGAAAGCGGAGATTTACCCTCTCGGTCAAGCTTACCTTTGTCAGCACGTGCTTTGATTAGAAGTTCCACAATTTCGACATTCCCATGATTGGCAGCGATCCACAAGGGTGATCTTCCATGCGCATCAATCTGATCCTTCTGCACGCCAGCCTTAATTAAGAAACGCGCAACTTCCAACTTGTCATGGTCAGCAGCCATCCATAGGGGTGATCTGCCATGCCGATCAACTTTGTCTTTGCAAACACCTGCATTGATCAACACCTTCACCACCTCTACATGACCCTGCGAGGTGGCAACTAGCAACGGTGTCTTTCCATCACGATCCTCTTCACTCTTGTCAGCACGAGCACCAATCAAGAGCTGCACGACTTCCCCGTTGGCTTGCTGGCAAGCCAGTGAAAGAGGAGGCTTGGTAGCACCTGATTTCAAGCTATTTCACTGTATTAACTCACATTCTAGACGCACACAGCCCTTCCGACCTCCTTTTGACATAAACAAGCGGACCTCCCAAACCCTTGCAGCGCCTGCATGGAGTAACACGCGAACAATATTGTCAAAGCCATTGGTGCAAGCAGTTTCTATCGGCGTAGTCCCTCGCAAATCTGCCGTGTCAGCAGAAGCTTTGGCCTCGACTAGGAGCTCTGCAACCTCCCAGTGACCAAGCTTGCAACAGAGATGTAAAGGTGTTTCGCCCAGCCAATTTTCCTTCGTTGACCACAAAGCTACCCGTGAAAAACCTCATGCCAAACTCCAATCAACACACAAGAAGTGTACCTCTCAAGCAGTATTCGATTCTTGCGTATCATTGAGACATGTATTATCATCCCTGGACTGATAGAAAAATATTTTTGTAGGGGATGACGTTGTCAAAAGAACCCGTGTTTGGACACTCCATTTGTTTTGTGAAAAGAGATCCTAGAATATAATATAAATATATATATAGGAAAGGATTTTATCAAACCCTCATTCGCCTTTTCCTTACCACCTTCCTGTGTCAAGTCTATTCCTTCTTTCCTTTATGTTATATTTGTTTCCTCTTTCCTTTCTCTATGTCCTGTTCTTTTGTTTCCTCTCCTTTCCTGTCCTTTTTATGCCTTCCCTGTCTGTCGGGTCCTTTTGTTTCTTTTCCTGTATTGTCAATTTCTTTCCTTTTCTTTATGTTCCTTCTCTATCTCCTTTTCTCCATCTCCTTTTTTCTTTCCTGATTCTCCGTTTCCAGCAATTGAAAGAAACAGATTTAAAAATAAAAAGTAACCACAAAAAGTAAAATAAAACATAAAAGTGAAAAGGAACGGAAAGAAAACCCATGTATTTCTTAAGAGGCATGCATATTCTCTGTGTGAGGTCTGGGAAAGCCGATCTTCTTAATACTATGTCCACTCTATCTGCTCCCAATGTTGATGACAAACAGTTCTGAGTAGAGTGAAGAGTTTCGCGATTAATGATCGCTCCGGCATCAATCAAAATCCTTGCGCACTCAAGATGACCAGCTTTCGCAGCAAGCTGCAAGGCTGATATGCCAGCATGCCGATTTCGCCGAACAAAACGAGGCAAATGTGGCGCTAGGTTTGGATTCGGCTCATCTGAATCGGGATCGTCAGGCAAAAGTTGATTTGGGTTCATCGGTGCATGCAGCATAGCCTCTAAAGAAGCGGTTTCACCTGACACTCATGTTCAAATCAAGAGTGACAAAAAAAATAGACACATGGTTCACTCCCTACAAGGAATGGATTGGAAACTGAACAACGTTTAAAATGTTGTTTTTTTGTCAACAGCCCCACCATCTTCAGCAGCTTTCAGAAAACGTTTTATTTGGTCTTCATCCGGATCTGTGAAGTCGTGTATCGTCATCTGAAGCTCAGTTGGTGCACTCAAATCGTTCAACTGGTGTTCATCACGAAGGACCTCACCCTGGCGAACTAATCTGAACCTGTAGATCGGTACCTTGTTGCAGCGCAAAACAATACCCAAAAAAGGAAAGCCGAAACAGCAACAAACAAATTATGTACCCTTGCTTGGCTGGCCCCTGGGACGATGATTATGCCAACGACATAGTAAAAATGGAACAACACAGCTAAGCTGCATCACAAATTGTTCGCAAGTGACGTTTCAACGCAATGACAGAGTTGCCATGCGTCTCTGTGACTTGCCGAACTCCATGTTCATCCAAACTGGCCACTTCCTTGCCTGATATCTGGTGGATTCGTATCATCACAAGAACGCCGTGAAGACAACCTAAATGACCTGAACAGTTGTACAAATTGCTGTCAATGGCCACCATGCAAACCAGCGTTTGCAGTTCTTCTCGCAGGACTGTTGACACAATACATCAGTTCCAACTCTGAATAACTAAGTTTGGACCTGAAAAATTCAACAAAAACATAACTTTACAAGACCTGTTGTGAAAGTGCGGAAATCAGGCGGCCCCTCACCATTCGCACCACATGCCGTGCGAAAACATAACGGCTAATCACTTGTTTCAATGAGAATTTGCAAGCAATGTTTTGTTGGCAAAAACTGAACTCGCACAAATTGGCCAAAAATCACAAGATCTATTGTAGTTCCGCCGTGCAACAGAACCACGTACAATTCTGGATGCCTGTCGCAAAACCACATGGGAGTGCGACAGCAAAGACTGCCCACAGGGTCTCAGATTCAGCGATCTGAACTTTTTGGAAATTTTGAGTCACTTGAAGGTTTCCACTTTTTCACTGTTTTGCAGCTTGTGTTCTTTGTTTTTTCAAAATAGAAGCCACAAGTTTGTATATATATACATGTGGTATATATAGATGCGTAGTTTTGGGTTCGCTTTAAGGCTTCGTGAAAGCCTGCTTCAAATGGATTCGCATAGGGGTCATTGCCTATTGCCTGTCGTAATAACGCAACAGCCAGCTGAAAACCGAAGGGACGAAAGCCAGCCCCTGCAAACGCTTAGAGCAGCGTGCTTCACTCAAGGAACTTCAACAAACCCCTGATAATACGTTGGCAAGTGCTCGAAGATGCATCTGCCCAGTCCTGCGTTGTCCAATGCCACGTCGCTAGAGTCCGCTTTTTGGAGGTGCCCTCTTTGACCCCGAGACGGCCTCCAAGCCAAACACGACAGACCAACAAATTTTCTGCTTTAGACCTTTTCTGGTGGAGCTTGGTTTTGCTGCGATGGCCCCCCAAACAAAACAGAAAGGGATGCTGTCAGATGTCGGGCTTTCCACGTTTTCTGGACATAATTGGAGGTACGGTGAAAAAAATGCATTTTTATTATCTTTATATACAGCAACAATTCCACAGAAGTATCAAATCTTCAGTGCCATGGTATCCAGGTAGTAGTCTGAGCAACAGTTTTTTGGGCTGATCCCATTCGACGAAGAAAACAGCAAAGTGTACGAGAGTAGAAGCTTTCAGCAAAGGGTAGGAGAGCAGGGTCGATAAAAATGCACTGACTTCCGCAAAGTGTAGCAGATTAGGAGCCTTTGACAAAGGCCAGGAGGAGGGTCGACCAATTCTTTTTTTTTCGGTCGACCCCCCCAAAGTGTGGAAAATCAAGTTGTAGGAATACCAGAGAAATTCCAAATCATGAGTAATACTATACTGATGATATCGTTGGTACAATTGAGAAAATAAACCAGGTAGTGACTAGGAGGTTATTTGCAGGAGCAAGGGGAAAAAATATCTGCCAGAAAATGGTGGATAAAGCTACACAATATTGTTTGTATGCCCTACTAATAGTCTCACGAAACTCGGCCCTTTTTCACCTTGCTTTTGAGCCACTTGTTGCGTTGATAAGAACAGATACTTCACTGCTCTTGACTGTACCTGTCATCCTTGCGCAGGGGTCATGTCTGCTCTACTATCTTGTGACACCCCGCCTTAAGGTTTCATGAAACGAAGGAAACCTTACTTCCATAAATTCCATACAAAATTCTAAATTCCATCAAGTGAAACTTTTCACTCACTTCGGCCATTTCATTGGCTCAGTGAACATGTAGGTGACCTTTTATCACCCATCATACCCTTCATCGTCATCTTCGACCATTACTTCCTCTTCTTCGTCTGCACTGTAGTGGTGTGCAATCCATGCACTGGGATCTTCACTTTCTTCCAACGGCCCATTGATGTCAGGCCTCATTGGGCCTGTTGCTGGTGTCCTCATTTGCATTCTCATCAACTTCACGTTCACTTCCTGAGGTTGTCTCATTGTCTGAAAAGAACGAAAGGCTGCTACCACTCTCAATCCACTTGTTGAAGGCTATCACGGCAGCATGAAAAGCTTTGGGCTTGTTCTGGTGCATCATCCCAAGAAGATGCTGGAGGTACCGCAGTGTATTGCGGGCTGACCTGATGTCATCTCGAAATGTAGCATCTCTTGTCATCTCCAGCTCTCGGATGCGCTCATTCAAATTGCGACAAGCTAATGTCAACGACACTTCTGGTCCATGCCCTTCGTTCAACAATCTTGTCCTCAACTTCTGAAGATCTTCTGGGAAAATGGGAACTCCCTCAAGTCCCCAAACCACCATTGTCCTCATTGAGCCAACGACAAACCACTCCGAACCATCGATGGCCTCTGGCATTTCATCTTGCGGATTCAAGAACTGCGTCAGTTCTTCTGCCACAAAATCCGAAACTGTCTGCTGTGCTATCTCTGCATCCATGCCTCTTGAGGAACTTGATGACTGCTGACGTTGGTCGTCATCTTCTGCTTCTTCATCTTCATCTGGGTTCTCCATGGTGCGCACACCCTCATGCACACATTTCCTCCTGTTCATAGGTGTTTCTTCTACATCTTCTGTCTGCGGCACATCTCCATAGTACGGGTTTGGTCCACCCGCAACATCACCATTTCCACCTCCTGAAGCATGTGAAAGGTGTGAGTGAAGACCTCCTCCAAAGTAGCCTCCTTCTGATGTTTCGTCTTCTCCTTCTGCCATGAGAAATGGATTCTCACGCCTCCTCAACTCCAGCTCATTCTTTAGGCCTCGCCATACGCAGCTGTACCTCGCCAGTTACTCAGTTGCGTCCTCATTCTCTGCATATTGAAGACGAGAATGGCGATCACACTCATCAAAATGAAAACTGCCCAGCACAAAATGTGTAGGCTCCATGCATTGTGAACCACTGCTTGTCTCATTCCTCCACGTGTCATCTCTGAGGCTTCATCATTGTTGCACCCTTTGAGTAGTCCAGCAGTCAAAAGAACATGGATGATCCGCTGAACACTGGGCATCACCTCCTCCTTGAAACTTGAACTCCATAGTCCAATGAGCTTCGCCAAATACTCCCTTCTCTCGCGACTGAGGGATTTGGTGTTCAGGTCGGCCGGGTTGTCTTTGGTTGCAACGCGACCGATTCGATACCAGCCTCTTCTCATTCCTTCTTGCCCCCACAGAATCCTGGTGCAAAGATGCTTAGCCCTTCCAGGTCCAATCCTCTGGAAAAAGGTTTGAGCACTGGTGGAATCCAAATACAACTTCATCTCAACCATGGACTCATTACCTGGGTCCTGCCGGCAACCAAGCAGGAATTGTAGGCCCTGCTTCAACATGATTCCTTCTGCAAGAAGTCCGGTTGCGGCCAACACCTTTGCTTGCATTGATGACAAAGCAATGGACATCTGACCTCGACTGTGGGAATGCATGCAATTCCCATTGTGGAAGATCAAACCTGATGACGTCGATCTCGGGGAACTCTTGGCAGCAGCCCAGTCCGAGTCAGAGAACAACTCCAACACATGCGGCTTGTGACCGGCCTTGACTCCCACATCAAGGTGCCTCCATCTGCTGAACACCGTGGTGAACTCACCTGTCCGCTCATAGCGTAGGACCATGCCGGATGTGCTTTGCAAGTAGCAAGCCACCTTCTTGATTGCGGAAAGCGCGGTCTTGGTCGGCCTGCTCATGTACGAACTCAGGATCCTAGTGACACGTTGGATGTCCAACCTTTCTTGGCTCAAATAAATCAGGACCCCAAGAGCTGACCGAAATGTCTGAGTTTCTTTTGTACCTAGAAACTCCTCCTCTGGTGTCGCCTCAGCATCATAGGCTCGCATGCGATGGGACTCCTCTCTCCCGTCGCTCCTGCACACCCAGCAAACTGCTAAGCTTCGGCACATACTTCTTGATTGCCGCAATCTCAAGACCTTCATTGTCAAATGTGATCCTTCTCTGCAAGTAGAACAAAGTTCCGGGTTTCTCAACTCCATATGGCCCGTCAGCTTTGAGCTTGAGCTTCTTTGAGAAATGCCCAACAAACAAACGGTGACATGCCTCTTCTCCAACTAGGATGATATCGTCTATGTGCACCGAGAGGAACTACTTCTCTGTTTCATGTTTGAACAGCGTGCCTCCCTGAAATGAGCAGAACTGAAATTCAGTGCACAACCTGGCGGAATGTCGATTCCTTTCCAACGCTGCATTGCGTTGGCCAGGTAGACATCGTTGGAGTTTCCAGAACATGAGGTTTGGTTGTTGCAAGATCGTTCGAATCCAGCTAGGGACCTCAATCACCACTCACGTTGCTTTACCGGCAAAAAGGCATCTGAAATATCCATCACGGACACCATCAACTTCATCGTGATGCTCATTGACAGCAAAAAGTTTGATGAATGAAAGCGGACTTGTGGGGCTGAATGTCTCCATAGATGATGCGGCTCCACCACGAAACTTCTGGCAACGAGCCACGCCCTTCGAATCCAGCATGCTTCTCTGAACCGCCAGTCAAAGACAATGCGGGTGTCAAGCTTCACTGCTTCTTCGATATTGTCATTAGGCTCTACATTTGCCAGCACCTGTAGGTCATCAAGACGAGAAACTTCTGCAAGCATTGCTTGTTGATCAAGCACTTGCAGCTCTTCTTCACGCACCTGTGGTGGTCCGCGGCCCTCATCATAGCAACCTCGCTTCTTCATGTCTTCTTGTGTCAAGAAATTTGAACTCTCACACTGGTCCTGCTGCTCACTCCAATCATAACTACCCTTCTCTTCATACTCAGCATCCGGTTCATCCTCAACATAAAGATCAAGCTCTGCAACCTGTTGTACTGCACGAGTGCCCACATCTGATGAGAAAGAAGTTTTCAATGCCTTCGAACTTGGCTCTGTGATTGGAGTCTCTGGATCAAAGCGAACCAACTTTGCCTGCTCTCTCAAGTCTTCTGTTGCCTTCTTCTTGAACTGAGCATGGTCATATCGACCTTTCTGAACACACTCTGGCTGTGGACTCCCTTCTAATGCCCTCTTTGGACTGCTTTCAACTGCTGATGCTTCTGCTGCTGCTTGCTGTTCTGCTGTTACTTGTTGTTGTGTTTCTGCAGCGGCGGATGTATCTGCTGTCGCTTGTTGTTCATGGGCAGCCCCGCCTGTCTCTGACTCCTTAGGCTCACCCACTTCCTGATCTTCATCAGGATGGTCAACAGCGTACTTGATCACTTCTTCGGCATCAGGATCAACTTTTTTTTGGATGGGTGGAGCCGCCGTTCACGCAGAAGATGCACAGGTCAGCTTGTACAGCTTTTCTAAGTGGAGTCTCCAAGGGGCCAAACAAGAAAACACCCAACAAAACCAGGCCCCCAAACACAAAAGCAAAAGAAAAGGGAGACTCTACATCGCGCTTGCAAAGGGTGAAAATCTGAGGTCCGAGGTGAAACATTGAGACGCTATTGCGAAGACGTTTGGGCAATGAATTAAGGCAAAAAGATCGAAAGGCAGGCAGTCCGTTGCGCGATGCAGTCGCTTGCTGTCAACTAAGGTGGTAGGCGACAGGCCTGTCACGGCAGGCCTGTGCAGAGAGCACTGTTTAAAGAAATGCTCATCGTGCTCATCTTGACAGCTTATGGCTGTGACGCATTTGTTGGCCATTTGTTGGCCACTCTGCCATTATTGTGAAGTCAAAAAGGAATGCGAGTCGAAGTGCATAATTATCACAGCTTGAAGAAGGCCTGGGAAAAGCGGAGAGGCACAATTCTCTGACGTGACAAGCGAAAGGGCAATGAGTCTCCAATGTGGCCTGTGCGTGGTGTGATGATATGACTTCTTCCATGACAAGATCGGCAGGGTCTTGTGCGAGCAAACTAGGTTGTTGCCATTAGTTTTCCTCCTGGAGGGAGGGAAGCGGCGCCATCATGCTCAAGCGTACCGTAACAGCTTTGCAAAAGGAGCACCCGTCTACCATGTGGCGAAGGTCAAGTGGACGCGTCGTCTTGGCCGCGGCAATCTCTCCACTCCTGCCCTTCCAAAGACATGCAGCCCATGTGAAACATAAAAGATTATCTGTACACTTTGTACCCAGCTGGCAGGGCAGTGACCCACCCTCAGAAGGACCAAGGCCCCTCGCCGAGCTCGTGCTACAGACCATCCATGCAAAAAGCCTTCATGGGCTGTCCTATCCTGAGAGAAATTGAAGTCCCGCCTGCGCTTCGATACACAGTCCATAAGGTTCCTTGACTGTACGTGGCCAACACGCCTTAACCTGATGCCAGGCAAGCGAACAACGTGGAGAGGGCCCATGCATTACATACTGCCTTTAAACTGTGCCCCCAGTTTGCATTGGCGAAATGGATCAACCTTCTCCCCAGCAAAGGGGATGACCCCATGATGAGACTGGCAATACAATACGAACAAGCCGCGCAATTTTGATGAGTGAGCTAAGATACCCCGTTGTACTGGCGTCCGGGGTCAGTACCGGATAATTTCCAGGGACTGACGGGCTTTTAGCCAAAACCGGTGGATAAATTTGAAGGCCAGAGGGCCAACATAAGGCCCAAAAAAAAAGAAGTACACAACCAGTGCAGATAGATAATTTTGAGAAGGCCTGAGGTTAGCAAGCTAGACGAATAGGATCGAGGAACCCCCCCCAAAAAGTAGATGCCAATCGACAAACGAGACAAAAAGAAAAGATCCCAGGCCCAGGTTCTTTTCCAACGCTCTATGTGCTCTGTGGTGGTCTGCAAAATTAAGGATTGTTGCGGAAGTCTGCCAACCTTAGAAGGTTGGTTGTGGTTGAGGTTGGCTTGGAATCAATGGATCCAACCACTTGCAAAAGAATGTCGGCTGCATGGCCCGCAGCGCTGGTCGAACTGTACATTTTGGTCGGTATTTTGTGGCCTTGACAGCCGCTCTGGACTTAGGAATGCCAGCAGGAGTTTATCAGGGCTACCATGCCCAGAGCGACTGGGAAGCAGCTTCTTTGTTGAACGGAACTTCTGCATTGAAATTGTTTTGTCCAGATGTCAGCGCACTTTTTTTCTATATTCGCTGCCGTTGAGCAATTTTGATAGAAAGCTCTCCAGACCTAGCAGAAGCAGCAGAAGAAGATTAATTTCAGCGTATCCCACAACTTGTCATTTGTATATCTCCCCAACCTCAATACCAAGGAAAATATCAAGGTTGTTTTTAGGACGCACATGTTTCACACGTGTCCTTTTCACAGGCTGCGAATCTCATGGAAGACCTGGTGCAGGATCCCGATGAGGAAGACTCTAACATGAACCTGGATGAGTATGAGGCCCCACCACTATTTTTCAGACTCCTCATGTCGAAACACAGGGTCCACTGAGAATGATCCAGGGCTGAAAGGTGCTGACCAAGAGTGCTTCCAGCTGTTGGAGCAGTTGAAAGCCCGCGGTGACTGATGCTTTGACGTTCCGTTGGCAAGTTTCGCTGACAATTTTTTGGTTCTCTGTGATCATGACGTCCACGGAGCTCGGAAAATCTAACGAGCGGAAACCTAACGAACGTCCAACGAGCGATGTTCTATCTTTTCTTTCCTTTTCTACTCCCACTACCGAGTGGATAAAATTGGAGCGTTTATTCTGGATATTTTTGATGCACTGACCCCATTTTATCCACCCCCAAAAAAAATATCCACTCCTTACTTGGGTTGATTTTTTTGGAGGACAGACCCCCTGGATAGGTTGCTGGCAGGCTGGCACACAGATAAAGTCCAGGCACTGACCCCTGCAATTTTATCCACTCAGTACGGCCCCCTATAGCTAAGCCTCCCACTCTGACGCCTAATCTCGTGGAAACTTCGCAAGCCTCTGTAGTGGAAATGCGGATACCTAGGCAGCATGCCCCAGTGACAGACTTCCAGGCGAGCACCTCAGTCCTTGTCCTGGGGCAAATGGAAGACGTATATTCGCGGACGTCGTAATTGACGTACTAGCAAGGTCGATGAAAGCAAAGAGCTTGCAGTTGTCACAGGCAAGAGGGCCTGAAAAATTAATATCTGGCACTGGTAGACCTCCATGCATTCTCGAACCACAAGGTTGAAGCATGTAAGGGTATTCCACATTGGATCTTGAAGGGGTTCTTGGGTGTCTGGACGCAATGGATCTACTTCACATCCGAACACGTCTGACGTGGTGACAGTGTCCAGGTAGTCCACAACGCCGTCTTCCAGTTCAGCGAGCTGATTATGCTGCGACATTTTGGTTGACACGCAAATCTCATTTCCTGCACACGTGATCAGTGTGAGCTGACAGGCCATGGAGTCTTCAGCTTTGGTGGATGTGCTGGGTCGTGAGCACTGTTCCTGCCATGTATCACGCCTCCCAAGTTTCTGACTTTTGAGCCGAAGTTGCATGATAGACATGTTGCTTTTGCATGCAAAAGCGGCCAAGCTGGCACTAGGGCTGAGTTGGCAGTCCACGGGAAGGGGCTTGGCAAAGAGATGTGTGGTTGCTCTCCAGTCTTGGCACTTGCTACGGACGATGACCTGGGCACACCGCACACACGGCGTCCGTACTCGTGGAAAAAAAAATCTTGGCACTTGCTACGGACTTGGCACTGTTCAGGATTCTACGAAAATTGTGGGAGAGTGAGGGCAATAGGGCAAGAACTAAGGTTCTCGCCTGGATCCTGTAAATGCTAATTGGCTGCACATCGCTTCGACATATTGGTGCGTTGCAAACAGTGCGGTGGTTCATTGGAGCTCCTTTCTGCCACCTCCCTTGGCACATTCCTCAGTGGTCTCTGGTGGAAACTTTTGTCATTTCAGCCTGCGAGAATTCTCATGTGCGTCCCCTCCAGTTTAGAAGCCATTGCAATGCCAAAAGGGGTCTTTGTAGCGCTGCGTGCTGACCATGATCAGTGCAATCTCCACCTTGTGCATGACATGCATGTCATTTCGCATCGGCTCGCTTGCACATTAGTCGCTGAGTCTGCCAAGTGGATGGATTCCAGTGAACATAAATGCTGGCACTGGTTGCACTGCTCCCTCCCGACAGGCAGGTGCAATCTCACGGACCTCAAGCTCAGTCACCCTCCGCAGCTTTGGCTCAAGCAACTGGCTCAAGCTGTGGTTGAGTGAGAGTGCTTGGGTCGTGTGAAAACACAGTAGCAACGCGCCCTTTTCGGTCCCGCTCCTTGAGCCAAAGTTACAGTCATTTATAGACTGTCTTCCAAAGTCCTCTTAGCTTCTTAGAAGCACATCCACTCTTATTAACAGAGTACATGACTGTACCTAGTCATCTCCAGACTACACAAACTGCAAGGAAACTACATCAAACAGTCTCCAAAGACATCGTGCTCTACCAAAAGGTTCTCTAACCAGTTCCTAGCCACAAGTTGCCACTTCAAACATCCTCCTGCTAAGGTGGTCAAAGGTCAAACACAAAAAGGGCACAGACCTCCACTCAGCTCCAACCCCAAGCACTCCAAAAACGAAAATTCCCTAAAGAGGCAAGCACTAGGTGAGCCATACGCTGTACACATGCGCTGTACGCTACTTTTCACACCCCTTCTTGGGTCGCCTAGGGCTACCTGCCTTCTTCTGTCTTCTTCTCTTCTTCTATTCGTTTTGTTGGAGCAACTCAGGATCAGACATCAACTAAGATCCAAACTTCTGCCCTCAAAGGTGATCTCAATGACATCAATCCAGAGATAAACTCGAGCTCAATCCAAGCAAAACTGCAGATCCATCCAAGAACCAACTTCGACCTCCAACCAACACGCAATCAACCAAGGTCAAACCTGTAAAGAGGATCTCTCAGAGGTGGGTCATGGAATCTCATGGGTTGATTCCTTATTTCAATGACCCTTTTAAACCTCATCATCGACACTCATGCTCGTACAACAAACTGCCCTCTGCCTCCAGTTCGGGTGATGGATCTTCCAGATCCGACGAATGTGGACCCTCAGGATCATAATGGGGCAACTCCCCGGGTGGTTCGTCAACCTCGGAACCTGCCTCAACCATCGGACCTTCGGCCTCCGCCTCTGGGCCTATCTGATCGGGAATGGAAGGAGTGTACTCCTCCATGTCATCACTCTCCAAATCAACGGTTTTTGGTAAACCACGGAACATCCGGACACGCTCGGACTCCTCCGAAACTCCCGGAAACTCTTCTTGGTTCCTCCAGAACGCAAGCACTCAAAAACCTCCGAAAAAGCCTCCGAATCTCCGTCCGGACCCTCGGAAAAGAAGTCAAAATCCACATTTTGGCTTTCACAACTCACAAAAGATGAGTTCGACTCAACCTCCCAGGTGTCAAACTCAGAAGTGAAAGAGGCAAAATCCTCCTGATCATCCTCCTTCTTCTCAAACGTATTGGGCTCATGTTCACAAAACAAAGTTGGAAAAGAAACACGGTCGTCACCACAAAAACAAAACATACGACACACATACGAAAAAGACTGCAATGAACCAGGCTGAGCGCACATCACTTCTCGACCCTTAGTTCAGGACTTTCCTGCCTTAGAAACTGGTCGTGCCTGTTCTGCCAGTGCTTCGTTTGTCGTTTCACCATCGTTTCTGTACTGTGTATGTGGTGTGGCTGCGCTTTCAGTGCTTCGCGCTTCTGTGGTCTGGGTCTCTCTGATCTCTCCTTCTGGGTTCGATGGGGGACCTTTCACCTCATCAACCTCCATGGGTGCTGGACCTTTGGTCGCTTTGCCACTGCGTCTGGTCTGACCTGACTTGGAAATCAAATCAACCTTCAACCACCAAGCACGTTCACAGATCCTAAGTGGAAAATTGGTCCCCTGACCATTCTCCAGGACACTTTCTCGTGCCCCTCCTAACCTAGTCAGCCATCCTGTCTCTGACAAGGCGTTGCAGCTGATCACATTCAACTTGATTCGAGCTACCACTACTCGCTGCGTGACTACAGGGGTCTTACCTACCTTGAACTCTAGGTCTACCATCCCTGCAGTGGGAAGGATATGATCCCCTGCACCTCTCAGGATTGGAGCTGAGCCTGGGTACCAATGCTTCACCTTGTAAAGCTTCAACCATTCCTCAGCAACAATGTGAGTGGCACCTGAATCTACAAGCCAATGGGTCTTGAGATCCTTTCCCAAGCCCTGAGTACTCAACAAGTACTCAAGAGGATGAGTGACGCTATGAACTACAGGCTCACTTGTGGAGGCACCTACCCCTTCAGTACTCTCAGTGCTCTTCGCAAGAACCATCATTGCGACTTGGTCTTGGTCTTCATCGACCTCGGGGTCTTCACATTCCTCCTCAGCTTCACATTCCTCACCGTCCTCCATCTCTCGAAGCTTGTTTCTCTTTCCTTTGCCCTTGCCCTTGCTCTTCCCTTTTCCTTTTCCCTTGCCTTTAGGAGGAAAAAGCTTCTTGCCAGGGTCTGCTCCAGTCTCCTTCTTGGATGGTCGCTTGTCAGGGCGCTTCTCCCAACAATCTGAGCCCACATGGCCACTCTTCCCGTGAAAGTTTGACACACAAACTCTTGGCCAAAAAACAAAAGCTCTCGTGCTCAAAACACCTAGTCAGTCAAGTGTCTCAACGACCCGAGTCGAAAACGGAGGAAAAAGCAGGCAAAAGACACGCACACTTTTCGCCGCACACTTGAGCCAAAGTGACGAACGTTCTCCAAGATTCACAAATGTTCTCGGGACATTTGTGGACATGCAAAACCCCACTCAAAACACTTCAACGCTTCACAAAAGTTCTCAAAACAGTTGGAAACAACTAAGAGCATAGTTCAAACATCTTCGGGTGTTCTCGGACACCTCATAAACAAACTACAAACATATGGAAACATTGAAAGGGATCTTTCAATGTCCTCAAAAGGTAACGAACGTCATTCAAACAAGTCGTAGGGAGTCTCCGCTCCTCAAAAACTTTCTTTGCGGTCTCTAAACAAGTGGTATGGAGTCTTCGCTCCTCAGTACTGTTGTACTATGAATTCTCACACCCCCTTTCGAAGCTCACATGCCACTTTGGACAGTGGTTCCAGTAAACGCTTGCGCTCACAGCAGCTACACAAACCAAAAGAGGTGACTTTCTTGCCTCGCAAGTATTGGCATTGACGGTCAAGGTGGAACTTGGACCCAGTCGAAGTCGCAAAAACCTCAAGTACCTGGTTCACTGCACTCATCTTCGTCCACTCGGAGGTTGCAGTGTTCTCAACACCACTCGGCCGGCCAGCAGCGCTCGAAGCAGCAGCACCTGAAGAAGCAGCAGCATTCAAAGAGACTCTCTCTCTCATCAGCGGCTCTTGCTTCTCTGGCTTCTCGGCCATCATCCTCTTCTGTCCCAAAAGGCTCTTCGCCGTCCCAGCAGCGCCAAAAAGCTTCACAAGCAAGCTCAGCGCGCCATACAACGCCAGCGCAGCGATGCAGCTGCCCTCAAACGACAACATGGCTTCCCGCGCGGACGCCCCACACACACACAAACGGCTGCGGAAAAGTTCGGCGAAGAAAAGTTCTCCGAAAGGAAAGAAAAAGTAGGAAGGGAGAGGCGACTCAAGGGTCATTTCGACACGAGCACGGCTTTCCTTCCTGAAAAGCAGTCTCACTGTTCAACTGATTTCAAGTCTCTCGAAGTAAAGTGGTCACACAGACCGAGACAAGACTTATGAAGTACCTTTGTCAAAAACCTGATCCAATTTCATCGACTCTCGACAGACTCTACAGTAGACAGTCTAAAAGTCTAAAAGGTGTGAACAGTCACAGTTCAAAAGCTATTGAACTCCAACGGCATCTCATGCACACACATTTTCACATCGATCATCGGAAGCTTCATCCGCAAGTGTCATCAAGCTATCTGTGCAGCAACAAAAGAAAAGGCCCTCAGCCACTCGGTTGCTCAGCTTGAGTTCTCACCTCAAGGATGCACAGATGCAAAAACTCTTCACAAGAAAACGAGCAAATTTCATCGAGTACCTTTCAGTATCATGGTAATCAACTGCATTGAATGGTGCGTGTCTCTCAAGACAACGACATTGAAAGCGAGTTCAACCGTTGACTCAAAAACGCGTTGGAACTCTGAATCCTGAAATTTTGCAAATTCGAAGTCCACTCCGGGTTTCCAATCCCATTGAACAAGCATGACATTCACTCTGATACGCCATTCCGTGCTTTTCGAAGAAGTTCTCAAGATCTCGACTTTTCCAATACTGATTGCTTCTCGGCAGTTCGAACGAAACAGTGACAGACACTCCTTCAGATGACTTGATCTCATCAAGATACTTTCCAGATGACTTCAGAAGATAAAAGAACTCTTCTCGTGCTTCTCATTCCTTCCCCAAAAATTCAAGAGAGGGGATCCGCCTTTGCAAGGGAGAGAGATGTGCGCGAGACATGCCACCTGAG